GGCCACCTGGGCAGCTGCTCAGGGTGCCCAGTCATCAAAGGGGTGCTATGCAGCAGCGCAGGGTTGTGCGCTGCTGGTGTAGTGTCAGAAACTGCTCCCTGAGGAGGGCATCCAGATTTCTCGCTGCTTCCTCCTGGCAGAGGAACATGGGGGGAGTGGTGACACAGATACTGCATGCACCCCCAACGTTCCTCCGTGCTCCTCTAGAAAGCTGTTGGGGGGGGGGAAGCAAGGAGCAACACCAAGAGCTCCGTGCATCCAGGTCACTTTCCCCACTTGGGCTGTGCTCTGAGGCAAGCAGCAGGAGCTGCTGCTGTCTGTCCTCCCCTTACGTAGCCCAGATGGGGAAAGTGACCTGGATGCAGGGAGGTCACTCCTTGCTCCCCCCCCCCCCCCCACACACACACACAGCCCCCTAGGGGTGCATGGAGGAGCAACGTTCTAGGGGGAGCAAAGGAATAAAGTCAAGAAGGAAAGTGATACTTCCCCCGCTCCCGATGTGTAAAGTCTTACATCCTAGGTAGTGGTCAAGATTTACCCAGAGGCAGTGGAGGTGGTAATGTTACCTACCTCCCTGTTTTGGCTCATTTTTCAGGATTAGGATGAAGAAGGTCTGGGACGTTAGGAGACAGTGGAGGTGACAGCTATGGTGGTGAAGCTTGCTCCTTCCCTTCTTTTTGTCTTTAAGGGTATGTCTACACTACAGGATTAATCCGAATTTAGATAATTCGAATTTGGGAAACAGGTCGTATAAATTCGATTGTGCGCGGCCACACTAAGCACCTTAATTCGGTTTTAAACCACAGTAATTCGGTGGTGTGCGTCCACACTAACCCTAATTCGAATTAACAAAATCGATTTAGGCTCTACTCCGTTCGTCGAGGTGGAGTACAGAAATCGATTTAAAGGGCCCTTTAATTCGAATTAACTGGCTCTGTAGTGTGGACGGGTGAAGGGTTAATTCGGATTAAGGCAGCTAAATCCGAATTAAAGTCCTAGTGTAGACCAGGCCTCAGTTAGCCAGTGCTGACCTAAGTTCCTTTTTAAGGACACCAAAAGGGAGTGATGGGCAGAAAAGCCTATCCTCTCATTGTATTGGAAATTAGACCTAATTAGTGGATAAAACATCAATTTTGGTTAATTGATTTTTAGTCCTACACTTCTCATTTCCCAGGCATGATTTAAAACACAGTACTTGAGTTAGTCCAGTAGGCCTTTCTGTTTGGACTAAATCAGTCTGTCTCCCTTTCCCTTCAACATTTATTGGTATTGGTTATTGTAACATTTTACAAACTTTCACTCACTTTTCACAGTTAAGCTCACACTTAGGGTAAATTTGTAGGCCTAGTTATCACAACACAGGAGGAACAAGAGAGAAGCACCTAGGTAGCTTTGCTTAACACTTAATGCCGTAGAAGTGCATCTAGCCATGTCCAGAAAGTATGGGCTATACTGCACAGTGGATCTGTCCCTTTATAGTTGTATATTTGAAAAACTTAGTTAAAATTTAGATTTAATTATTCCTGCTATACATCACAGTATTCCAGGTTTTCCAGTATATTTTAAAGTAGAGATAATACAGCCTTAGTATGGAGAGACCTCCCTGTAGCACTCTGCTCTTGAATCCATGCTGAGACATGGGGAAGACAGACACCACTGGGATTTTGTACGCAAATGACGGGCACGAGGATTGCTGATCAACAGAGTACAAATCAGGGAGGTTCTACATATGTTTTAGGTTTTTGTTGTTGTTTTTTTAATAGAATATATTAAAAGTCACTTTATAGAACAAATCATGTTCTGTTTAATGCTGAGCCTTCTTTCATAAAAATTTTATTTTTTTTTCTTTACAAAATTATCCTTTCTGTGCCATATGTTAACTCTGCTTTGGAAAGGTCATCGCTGTTATTTAAATGTTAGATATACTTTACTGATACATTGAAGATAGGCCTGAAACTCTGCATATTTGAGAGCTTCTGGAGGATAGAATTAGTTCTACATGATAGGGACTTGTGAGCAACTATTTCCTGTACTTTCTTTATAATAATGTTTTATAATTATTTTTCTCCTTGGAGGCTCGTTGTCAGTTAAAATGAAACTCTATCCATCATGTGTGTCAAAAATCCATGATGTAGAACCCAGAGACAGTCCCCTTACACCCATCCTCCCCACCTATTAGTTCCTTAGGGGTGGCTCCTGATTCTTACTGCCCCACCCATACACGCCCAAGTGAAGAAGCAACTAGAGACACCTTTGGGGCTCCACACAGTGGAAAGACACCCATGCCTATGAATTTTCAGGAACACGGTCTTCACTAGTAACTCACTGACTAACACAATGTTTCTCAAATGCGGCCACTGTGGCCGCATGCAGCCACCAGAGGCTTTTCATGCGGCAGTGACAGCCTCCTGGGTGGTGATGGGGGGAGGCAAAGCATCAGCCCTTCCCACTCCTCCTTGTTGCTCCTGGAGAGAGGTGGGACACAACGCTGCAGGAGCAAGGTGAGTTCTTGATCCACGTTGGGGGGTGGGGGGTTGGGAGGCAGGCTCCAGCGGCAGGACTTCAGGAACCTGGCTGTGCGGCCCTGGGCTCCGACAGCAGAGCTTCAGTCTCCAACCCCTCGTTCCAGCTGTGGGGCAGCAGGCACTGGCCCCCGGCTCCAGTCCCAAGCGATCGGCGGCAATTCGGCAGCAGTTCTACCGCGCCGCTTCATTCTTCGGCGGCAATTCAGCGGCCGGCCCTTCCCCTGAGGGACCCTCTGCCGAATTGCCGCCGAAGACCCGGACGTGCCGCCCCTTCCCATTGGCTGCCCCAAGCACCTGCTTGCTGCACTGGTGCCTGGAGCTGGCCCTGCGGCCTAGGCTCTGGTGCTGTTCCCCTGTCCTAACTACACGGCAGCAGGCGCCAACCCACAGCTCTGGCCGTGTGGCCCCTGGCACTGATCCCCTGCCCCAGCTGCGTGGCATCAGGCTTCTCTGCACAGCAGCAGGCCCCAGCCCACAGCTCTGTTCCCACGTAACGGCGGGCGCTGACTCCTGGCTCCAGCACTCAGCTCTGGCCCTACAGCAGCAGGCACTGGCCCTGGGCACTGACCCACAGCTCCAGCTGCGCGGCAGCAGGTTCTGATCCCTGCCTCCAGCCACGCAGTTCCTGTCCCCAGCTCCAGTCTCTGGCTGAGGGCACTGAGCCCCAGCCCTGGCTGCGTGGCAGCAGACACCAGGCCCTGGCTCTGGCCACGTGACAATGGGGCTCATCACTCATTGCCCTTGGCCACTGCTGCCTCCTACTGCCCCGTATCCATTGCTCCTGGACCCCGGTGCCTTCCTGGTCTCGCATCCATCCCCCATTGCCTGAGGTCCCCACTGTCTCCCCCGGCCCCGCATCCATCCCACCAATCACCTCTGGCCCCTGCTGCCTTCCCCTTTGGACCATGCATCCAGGGCTTAATGGGTCCGGGGGCTTGCTGAGAAAAGTGATATTAACAAACACGCAAGTATCACTTTTCACAGCAGACTTACTAGATATCTGTGAAAAGTGATACTTGTATGTTTGTTAATATCACTTTTCATAGCCTCCCAGGTTATTAACAAAATATACAACTGTCACCTTTCACAGCAAGCCCCAGGACCCAATAAGCCCTGGGTGGGGGGCTGAAGGGAAAGGCAGCATTATTTTTATTATTGAGTCTGCCAAAAAAACCTACAAATACAATGACTTGGGTGTGAATCTGTGCATTTTTAATTGTTTTTCCTAAAGTTAATTAAGTATTTTAGGGAAAGTGTCACTGTGGCCACCAGTGAGAGTTGGCAGCTGCACTGTGAGGCCACCAAAAAATTTGTTGTGAGAACAACACTGCACTAACATAACTCTCAAAATAATATGTAAATGATGCAATCAGCACATTTGTGACCAATGTGCTTTTGGAAACTCCAGGCGGTCCCATTTTTTTATTTAGCCGATAGATGCCTGTGCCTGGCTATCCCTGAGCTATTCCTACCTTCTTTTCGCCTAGCTTTTCTCTCCATTATTCCATCCGTGGGGCACTGTTGTGAAGTCCATATAAATCTAAACCTCATCCTTCAGGACTACAATGAGAGTGGCAGCAAGAGCAGTAAATGTTTCACCGTCCCTTCTTCCCAGCCCAGTCACATGACCAAGCAACTTACCCAATTGGCATGTCCTCTCTCACCAGTAAGAGGAAGGGAAGTGGGTTCAAAGCCCATGCCTTGTGCATATTCACACACAGCACTGCCTTCATGCCATATCATTTGTTTTTAAATACATTATCAGCATATTATTGCTCAATTTTTTGGCACTAAAAACAATTCAAATGTGTTAAATGCTTCTTGAATCCATTTCTGCAACAAAAACCACAAGTTAAAACTTCATGTAGACAACAAGATAAGATGGATAAAAAGAGAAACCACAACTTTCAACTACAGAAAAAATGTTTCAATGAGGTGAATTGGAGAGGGAGGAAGGGAGGGACTGGACAGATAATAAAGAGTAAAATGCATGGTGTTTATCAACCTTATATTTATCGTTGTAAAACTTAACCTTTGTAATCATTACCATGTAATTAAACATCACAGCTAATTATAATCAGTTACCACATTACTGCTTGCAATAATACACATCCTTTGTAAGAGCTTATTTTAATTTTTTTTCTTATTTAACTTCACCACGCTTTGTTACTTAAAAAACACTATTCCAAGAAGCTCAGGAGCTGATGACAACACACTCATGCATTATAGTGAACTAATTTGTCTGGATATTATTATTTCACCATCAGATGGTAACACTGCTGGAATTATTCCATGTGATCATTTTAATTATTAATATTGAGCTATGTCAATAGTGTTTTCATTCGATCCTGACTGAGTAGTGTAATCTTGCCTTCCTTAAAACAGGAACATGATTAACAGTCAATCGCCTATTGATAATATGCTGTTTTCAAATGGGACTAATCTGTCATTGCATTACATGTTTCATTAATCAAGGCTGATCTCATAATAAGATCACAAACCACTAATGATTCGGATGGAGATAACTGCAAACTTCGAAGAAGGAAATTGTCCTTTGAAAGTGAAGTAGAGAAAGGTAATTAACTTCATGTCTTATATTTAATAGACAGCACTGGGACATTATTCATTGATATTTAAGAGGGTATTCTTTTCACTGGGTAACAGAGATACATTAAGGTTCCATTGCAGCAATTACTTGTGAGCTACTCAAGGTTTTGTTGCTCAGCAGGCACGGAGTTGTATGCAGTGGCTCTCAAAATAATTACACACGGACACTGGATATCAGCTTCACCTTACCATGACTCCTCAACCACCACTACAGATCCCATTGCTTTATATGTGTATATACTTAGACAACATCGTGTCCTGCAATATCCTATTAAAATATTTGGAGATTCTAGTCTGTTGGATTTTTATTAGTCGTATTAATTGTATTATCCCACTAAGCAGTGATTTTGTGCTTGATGCAGGCTAGTGTTTCTCAGTTCCTGTGATATCCCTGAAATTATAGCATTTTGTTTGCAGTGTACAATATATAATTGTGTGTATATATATATATATATATATATACACACACACACACACACACACACACTCACCCTAGTGAATTTGTGCCTCAATTGGCAGTGTGCAGATGGGTCTTTTGGCAGGTCTTCAGGTGGCATTTTCTATGCTTACATGTAACATAAAAGGCCATTGGGAGTAATCAGAATGGAGGGGAGCATTTGGCCAAATATTAACTCATGATACCAGCATTAAGAGCTCACAAATACCAAGGGCATTGGTTAGGTACTCATGAAGGAAGCTAAATTAAAACTTGTATGCCTTTCTTTGGAGCTGGGTGAATCCCATTTGCGCACGCGCGTGTGTGTGTGTGTGTCCAATTATTTATTTGGACAATCAATGTTTCTGGCATTTGCCCCACTCTGCCTTTCATGTTCCACTGTTAAAGGCCAATCCTAAATGCAGGACAACACTGAGAGCCAAAACTTGCTGATGATAAATGAAGGACAGGTGGAGTGCTGGAAGAAGGACTTTAGACCAGTGTGTTCCTGGTTAGCAGAATGGCATTACCATTTTATCAAAGAAGCATCTTTGAGCCATAAAGCCACAAGTGACAACACATCTGGCAGGAAAATGCCCCCATGAAATATTCAGTCTGCTCATCAAAAAGAATCTGTTGACAGAGGTGCCTTACCTCAATAACCTTCACATTTCTTATGAGAAAACATACCCTGCCTCCTAGACAATATGGAAGTGATTTGTCAGCCTGTGCTTCCTGCTCAGAATAGCCTGCTAAAATGCCAGGAGGGTGGCAAAAACTGTGTTTTGTTGCTCTTACCAGTAGTTCTTGCCTGCTAAATTATGAGTCTCGCTGAGTAGTCTTCTGATTGCTGGCATTCTTTCACGTTACTTTTGACAGGATGTCATTTGCCACAGTTTTGTCAATGAAAATAGCATGCCTTTGTGGGAGAACAAAAATGAATGGTAGCCTACCCCTAAATTCTGGTAATTATAATATGTTATCTGGCTGGCTGAGTCACACCAGAGAGAGAAACTCCACTTCTGGAGAGAGGGTAACCAGTGAGAGTGTAGAGTTTTGGTCCCAACGGCACACTTCTTCCCTGCCCTAGTCTATGCTGCAAAACTCTGCATGCAGCCATAGCTGTAACGGAGCACATGGAGTTGTTTTTCTGTAGCCTGTCCCAGGGCCTGTGTTGTTCTGTGAAGAACCATGGCAGTTCCACTGATTTCAAGGCCTTCCACACCTGTGGGAGGGTGTTAGAACAGAATTTGGCACATTCTAACTTAGACCACAATCGATAAACAGTTTGGGACAGACAGTACAGCAGTTTGAGCAGTACAGCACAAAAGGCACAGCCCTTGGCTGAGAGACATATTTATGGTCACAGTCTTGTTACTGTTTAGATAAAATGTTGTATAAAGATAACTTTTATCAGTCATATTTTCGCCTCATAAATAAAATCTAAAAATTAAGCAATCCGTGCATGTTCTTATGAGGTTTCAATGTTTTAAATCTCAGTAAAATCTTAATGACTTAGTCAGTTGTTCATGTTGCCTCTCTAGTGCGGTACCTAACTTACATTCTTGATCTTACAGAAGGGGGGCTCTTTTTAATAGACATATGGACCTCCTTCTAGTGCTTCCCATTCAGCTGTTGACCAACTGGTAAATTATACTGTTTGAAATTGCACTTGTCCCTTTTTGGTGTGAGCCTACAGTAGTTTGAGATTTTCTCCCTTGTGGACTGTTAAACATGGATTTGTATTTCTCTCTCCCTTCAGTTCATGTGAGCCTGATTTGGACCTTGTTGCCCTGGTAACTCATTGTGCAATAGTTTCATCAGGGACTTAAAGAGCTGTGAGATATTGTCTATGATTTATCTGCAGTATGTACTCACTTTCTTTCCTAGAAATGGGACAATTAATTCAGTCAAGGTAGTTTGTGATTTGCTGAACAAGCATTGCACTCTCGTGTGGTGATACAAGACTGTCTTACTCTACCCCAGACGCATTTCCAGCATATTCTAGATGATTCACCACATATCTGATCTTAGCTTCTATGTATGGCTTATTCTTTAATGGCCAAACCCTGGTCCCAGAGAGCTATGTGGTGCAGAGCTAGCTGCAGTTCTGTAGCCCAGCCTGACTCTGGTTGCCAAGAGCAGTTGGAATCCTGAGAGAGCCCTCGTTAGGGGTTGCCACATGTCCACTACCTGGCAGTTTTACCCTCACACTTACCCAGTGGGATTCCATGACTCTTATCCCATCCCATCTTTTGGGAATAGTGTTGGGGGGTGGGGGTCCTCTGTGCATATGCAGAGCACCACCACAGCCATAGAAGCCAGTTGCCACAGATGACTGACAGTCATCCACAGAGATTCTTACCAAGTTTACTTGGGCCCAACAGTGCTACTGGCTGACAGTTTGTAAGCAGAGCTGTCAGCCAGGGTGAAGTTCTCCTCAACCTAAACAGGTGAGAAGCAATGGGGTGGTACAGTGCCTTCACCTATGCTTTTGCCTCCTGGCCCACCCACAGGGGAACATTTTTTCCTTTCTTCCCCATTTCCCCCTCTCTCTCTCATATAACAGGTCAGTAGGAGTTATCCCAACCTCATGGCCCACTGGGTGGGGAGAAGGGGAAAAGTAGTTAACCCTGAATTCAGACGTGCTGTGGAGCCACTCTACTCCACCCACCTATGCTGGCCTGGCCATCTTCAGGGTCAATAAAGCCAGCATAAAGCCCCCATATGTGGCATAAAGGAAGTCATGGCATTGAGGCCATGGTCAGAATTTAGCCCTGACAGAGTAAATTCATCTGTAGTAGGGCTTTGAAAACACTTTTTTGGTGAGCTAGTCAGACTTCCTGCATCATTACTCACTCTGGTGTCATTTAATTTTTTGTTAACATTGGCATTGATGGTATCTAAGAACTTCACCTCATTGGGTCTATTCCAGCATATAATCATTCTTACCATGAAGAGATGTTCTCCATGTCAGCCTGGAATTCATTTTGTCCTTAGCTGAAAGCTATCAGATGCACACAGAATGCACACTGAAATATGATGAACCTCAAGAGGCAATCGGATGTGAAGACTATCCATTCCAAGCAGAAGATTACTTCAGGAAGAATGAGGTCAAACTGTATTAGTGATCTTTCAAACTCCTTTGGACAGGGCATGTAAAATCCATTAGCCACATCCAGGATAGTTGTTTTAAATGCACCATCTTATGCAGTAACTTGAATGGAATGATGATGTCCTTGAAGTAAACAGAATTACTCTGGATTTTCATCAGTGTAAAAGAGATCAAAATCTGGCCCACGCTTCTAGGGCAAACAATCTAGTGAGAGGCATATTGTTCTGTTAATACCCATCGATTCAGTGAAAATCGTTGTTTTGTCAACTTATTTGCCAACTAGTCCAGGACGAGACACTTAACTCTTGACAGGAAATTTTTATTTTCTTGGATTTCATTTTAGGAGCCCACAAAAGAAAGTCCCTATGAATCCTGCTGATTGCATTTGCCCAGCTTGAAAGCAAGAAATGTGTTCCTCAAATCCTACATTTTGCAAGGACTCCCTGACAGCAAGTATATAATCATCAGACAGTCCATCACTGCAGTTGTCCATCTGCTCCTATTGCAGCCTGTCCCAGGGGAGCACAGCTCCTACAAGAGCCTTGTTTCCAAGGGTAACTCCTACTGAAGCAGTTTTCCCATGAAATGTGGCCTTCTGGAAATGTATATGCAGTCATACATACTGTCAGCTATCAGAGAAAAATCATCTTGTAGTGGAAGATAAGCTCTGAGTATAAGAGACTGGAATTCTATCATTGGAGTCAGAGATCCTTCGGCCTTCACCCTGCATCATTTTGCATTACCCTCACATTGTGGCAAAACCAGACAAAGCTCAAAATATTCAGAGATCAGGCTCTCACTCCATCCCTAACTCATGCCATTGTGCTAAAAATGGCACAAAAGAATAAGTTAAGGATTGAATGTTTGCTTTAACTTTGAAGTTTCTGGCTTTGAATTTGACACACATTTACAGTCACTCAAAACTAGCTCTTTTTTATTTAATTTAAAGAAAGGAAAATAAATCTTTATGGAAAGGTTATCTAGCCTGTATTTGCCTGCTGTCCCATTTCCCAGAGTAAATACACTTAAGGTGCTATAAAAATAATTACACACAAAAAAACTACATTAAAAGAGCATTATTAAGGTTGCAAAGTCAGGCATTCAAAAGTCAGGAAATGCCAGAATTAAGGCTCTCTGGGCAACTTTAATTCAGCTCCCTTATGCCTATACATTATAACACAGTCCAATTCCATGATCACATACTACTTTTTCCAGAAGTCCCCTGCTTCATTCAATGCACAGAATGCATGGTGCTCACTTAGTAAGCAGCTATTCAATATTTTGTTTGCTTCATTAATGCAGTATGTAGGTGCTCAACAAGGTAAATTAGCTGCACAAAGCGTTGTCCTTGGTGGAGTTCAAAGTGGATTCTTCTCTCAGGTTCAAGAAACTTTTCTAGGAGTTCTTGTGTGTGCAC